CTGGGGATCTCATTATTTTTTTATATAACAAAAGTAATTATTAAGCTACTGAAGAAGATTCAAGAGCATTTCAAGGTGAAGTGAAAAGAAACAAGTTTTATCCAAAGGGAAATGCATGTGTTTCATGGCAAGCACTTCTTATTACTGTATGTAATAGCGACAAGAAGCCTTTACGCCCAAAAGTAGGGATGCATCGATATGAATACTGTTATTGTGCCAAGTGCATGTTGTCATGTTGCTAATCAACAGGTGACATGAAGTGACAGCGATCTAGACACATTCATGGTTAATGATGCCAACCAAAGCAAAGCAGACTGCAGACTGTGCTCTGAGGAGGAACTACAGCATCTTGACACAATACCTGTAACCTGACAAAACATCGTTATGGTATTTAAAGTGCATCTTTAATAGAGAGCATGTGCAGTAAATTGAAATGGTATTGAAATGAGAAATGCACGTTAGAGCACTTCACTTCTGCGAGCACTGAGCACTGAGCTTTCCCCCCCCTTCCTTTCACGGCATCTTGTGCTCATTTGTAATAACCACGCTCACGGATACTGCTCAGAGCGCTCACGTCGGCCATCCTGACCCTCTCTGTTTAAACTCCGGAACAAATCAACAAATGGATCCCTGCTCAAATGTACGCTTTCGCAAAGTCTGAACATTCCTTACTTCACGAACTGCAAAAATCTGAATAGCTTAAATGTGTTAGGAATGAATTAAATGAGCTATGAGCTGTACGTAAGGCATCCTGTATCACCCAGAAGAGGATGAGACTGGTTCCTGTCAAGTTTTCTTTCTCTGGCTTGCTCATAGGGAGGCTGTGGCCCAGTGGTTAAGGCTTTAGGCTTCTGACCGGAAGGCCGTGAGTTCAAATATCAGCGCTGCCAAGCTGTCACTGTCGGGTCCTTAAGCGAGACCTTAATTTAACCTTCAACTGCTCAGTTGTATCCTGCCTCGCTTTGGAGATCAGCCAAAGGAGTAAAATGTCATTGTTAATCTAAATCTATATCTGGATTTCTGTAATGTGTATTGTTAAAAGCGCTATAATCATAACAGTGAATTGAATTAAGATATGAAGAACAAGAACTTGGACTCAGGCCAACCCTGAATCAGTTAACACTGAAAATGAAAAGCATGGGAAAAAAAAATCACTGCTGTCCCATCCACCATGCAGCACACGTCTTCAAAGAGATAAATCCTAGCACCGTAGCTACGCGTTAACTTATGTCATTGCGGAGCTCAAAAGAAACTCTTGGCTGTCGTGTCTGAGTTCTGCACATGAGATCCTTCACAGGAGAGGAGAAGAGAGGACGGCTCATTATGTCGCCGGGTCTCAGCAGGGACGTGCGATGTAACACATACGCGAACGTTCAAGCTGCGAGGGAGAAAAAGTGTCTTTGTAAATTACAAGGCTTTCTCAGGGCCAGAGCTGCATGGAGGCTGATAGCGGAATTGAAACATGACTCTGTCCTGGGAGCTTGCGGCGGGATGCTACTGGAACACCGTCTCCTCTGCCAGGCCGCGTGCTGAGATACACACCCACTTTATAGATTTTGATTGAA